GTTTTATTGTCGTTGAAATTTCACCAGTAAAATGTTTTACTGTGTCTCACCCACCTTATTGTGTGGTTGTGTGAGGACATCCATTCTTTTTGAAGACCGTTAGTAAGTATTTTTCTTCCATTTTGAGGTGGTTGTGTTCTCTAAGCTGGATAGTTAATTTGCGAAGCTTTCATCGCCCCTTCTACTAGGCGACATCTTCAGCGCATACACTTCAATTCGATAAAGTGAGCTTTCAGATTTCTCCACGAGTTCACTATTAATCATCTCTCCTGGTTGGTGACCACCTTGGACGTGATTGGTTGGTTTTGTGTGTTTTCACACCTTCTAGGTTACTTGTATTGGAACTGATTGTTTCTTTGATTTGAACTTTGACCCTTTGTGTGTGGAGTTTCTTTCTTATCGATTGATAAATTTAGTCTATCTCGATATGCATACTGATTGATGATTCACTGGAATGTCAAGCTTCTAAAGCATTCCAAGCATAAGAAGCTTGGCATTCCAGTGAATCATCAATCAATATACACATCGAGATAGACTAAATTTATCAATCGATAAGAAAGAAACTCCACACACAAAGGGTCAAAGTTCAAATCAAAGAAACAATCAGTTCCAATACAAGTAACCTAGAAGGTGTGAAAACACACAAAACCAACCAATCACGTCCAAGGTGGTCACCAACCAGGAGAGATGATTAATAAACTCGTGGAGAAATCTGAAAGCTCACTTTATCGAATTGAAGTGTATGCGCTGAAGATGTCGCCTAGTAGGGTGATGAAAGCTTAGCAAATTAACTATCCAGCTCAGTGAACACAACCACCTCAAAATCATCCACCTGAGCTACAAATCTTTTCTATCATATCTAATTCTTCCATTTTATTCAACAATGGAGTAGTGCTACAATGTTGTGCTTGAACTCATGATTTAATTAAAAAGTGTTTAAAATAGAGTGACAACGTCCAACAACAAGCCAACACCGAAGTCCACAAGATAATTAATCCCTCCAAAATATATAAAAATATAATATCTGTGAGATAACAATTAGAATCTTAAAACCGATTGAAATATTTATAGCACACAAGTCAACTAGTCAGCCAGCACGATCACTTCATTTGATATTGTACAAACCGAAAGATCCAACAGAAAAATGAGATTAACATAATTAACATTTAAAAAATAAATTGCATGCCTGAATTGCAGTAAACATTACATCGGTCGTCAAAGTGGTCATCTCTTTTGAATTCGATTTCAACGGCATAAATTAGCTGTGAAAAGACACGTGATATATATATATATATATATATATATATATATATATATATGTATTCTTTCATATCAATGCATGTAGATAATTATGAACATCAGTTTGATTGTAATGATGTCGAATTTGTTAAACAGAGGAGACACGGAAAGTGTCAGAGAATTCCTAGAAGTGTGGTTGGTACTTAAGCGAATATATGATTAATAAACATGTTAATAGATAGACCAAATCTACCAGCTAATCAAAATTCAATCTTGTGACGAGAAAGATTTTATTCCAAATCAATCAAAAAATTATCACTACAGATGTAAGTCGACTACCCAGTCACGAAGATGGTTGCTACCAGGAGACACAATTCTATCATCATTCATGAAGAATTTCAATCAGTTCAGGATTTCATCATGAGCTGACATTAATTAGACTAATTAGAGTAATGTCAGCTCATGATGTAATCCTGAAACCAGTCAAATCCCTACAAACCAACACATAAATCAGTTCATTTTATACTAAAACTTTTAAGCTGAAGAGGTATTTTGTCCAGCAGGGAGACGATGAAAGCTTCACAATCAAAATCAACCAGCTTAGAGAACACAACGAATTGTTGCAAATCATCCACATGAGCTAGAAATATTCTCTATTATTCCACATTCCGTTTGCTGATAGGATTCAGTCTTCCAATAGGGAAGAAGCATAGTAGACTTTTTTTTGCTTTACTTCCCCTAGTAGAACATATTGCTTCAAGCTAGTGGCTTGAAGTTTCCGTAGCTAGCTAGCTAGCTAGCCTCATGCTCAACCTTTCTTCTCTACTAGGACTATTTCTGGCTTAGAGAGGTAAAGGATTGCGTCGGCCGGAAATCGAACCTCGGACCATGTGCATAGTTGGTGGGCGTCCTAACCACTGTGCCACGGACGCGAAAAAAACAGACTATTAAACCATATTTTGGATAAAACTTGATTGTTTAAATCTTGCGCTACCATAATTTCCATCCTACATATTACATCTATTTCTTAGACTTTATTTTATTTTAATCATTCAATAATGTGTCCTAATCGTATTGTTTACTCTCACGGTTATTTAAAACGTTTCCAACCGGCTGATTTACTAGTTTCTAATGAATGTAGGAAAAAGCTTCATGGTGGATGGCAACGAGCTTTAAAGCGTACTCCAATGCATTTGATGACTGTTCCGGTGATTATGAGCACAAATTGCAGATCTCTACGAAAAAAGATTAATTACTTGCATTCTCTGTTATAATCAAAATACTGGTGTAATAACTGTTCAAGAAACTTGGCTCCACGATTCATATGACGATAATTTAGTCTCCTTAAGTGGTTTCACAATGTACAGACAAGGCCGATGCAGGTCAAAGAAGAAGAGAGGTGGTGGTGTTGCCACTATAATTTATTAATTCTCAGTGGTCTACTGCCAACAACGTCTGCTTCAAATTCTCAAATGACAATATTGATTGTATAACTGTTAAATGTCGACCTAAACACTTATCTAAGTATAGCTTCATTTTCGTCACAAATATCTATGCCACACCTTGTTGCAGTCCCTCAGAACCATTGATCTTCGCTGATGAATTCACTGTTATAGCATCATCTTACATTTGGCGGGAGCGAATTGCACGCCAAACATCTCAAAGACTTACATGTTTCTTATTCTCTCGACTTGCAAACTGTTGGTCTTAAGCTGACAGAAACAACCATTTGATTAAGGCTATAAGCGGAAATGTAGAAACAACCTAAATATTAAAGCTGGCGTAAACGACTATCACAGCTAGGACCTAAAATTATTGAAGGCTGATATATATATATATATATATATATATATATATATATATATATATCCTAGAACTGCATACTATTCCTTAACAATAAGCTAAGCCATATGAGAAAGTGTTGGTTTTCAGATTGGTATTCATAGTAAACGATATAGGAATTATATACAATTGGTGGATGGTGGCTAGCAGTGGAATCCAGGATAAAGCGCATTTCGTCCTATTTGGGACTCGTCAGCTGGATGTACCTGCATTTTTCAGTGAGTGATGATGCTCCCACCGAGGCTCGAACCCAGTGCCCATAGTTTCAAACGCCAAAGCGTTATCCACTAGACCACTTGGGCCACGAGAGCCACCATCCACCAATTGTATACAAATCGAATCCCCAGACATCGTCGAAGCATCTGCACAAGAAGCCGACATGTCAACCTGAGACCGAGCACTTCGGTCCAATCAATCGACGGGAAAACCAAAAATTCAATTCAGTGATATAGGAATTAAATCAGAAATCAAGTATCTTGGACTTATTCTCTCTTCTGATCTCTCCTGGTCTTCCCATGTCTTAGCAATCTCCAGTAAAATATTCCGTCTGACATTTTACATTAGGAAGTTAAGACACTCGGGTATAACTCAACCCCTCATCCTACAGTTCGTAAACTCTTGCATCCTACCTATTCTTCTTTATTGCTCACCCTTATTCTTTCCTGGTTTGCTGAAAAAGGACTACGTCACATTTCGTAGAATACTGAAGACTGTCAGTAGGGTGAGTGGTGTCCCAGTGGACCACATAGTTAACGTCGTTGTCGATAGGCACTTGACTTCGTGCAATAAATTTGCTAAAGGGATTTCGTCTGACTTGGAGCATCCACTTTACCCTCAGCTTTCACCTTGCATCGCCTCAGGTAGAACAAGAAGTAACTTCAGAAAACTGTATGCTCACACGTCTAAGTATAAAAGTTCTATAATACCATACTTGGCACGTATTTTATGTGATGAAAATAGTGTCAGGCAAGAACTAAATAACCTTTTTTCATCGAGTAAATTAACAATTTCCTCCATCCATCCGTCCCTATGTACCTTCAAGTTTTACTTTTATTATTTCTATTATATTTATGATCCTGTTGCTTCTTTGTTTGTTTTACTCTCATAATTGCAAACACCAACTTAACTCTATGACTGCTGTAATCTTTGTTTTCTCCTCACGATATCATGTAAAGAGAACATTATATTCAATAGTTTTTAAACAAGCTTAGATTTCTATACCGCATCGATAATACTGTGTGAAACAAGCCCACGGCAATTTTCACTTGTATTATTATTATTATTGCTACCTTAGCTGTTATCATTATTATTATTATTTCCATTTTATATCCTGCATGTTTTTGACATTACCTCTATTGTAAATGTGGAGAATTTTCTGTGTGATTAATTTTATTTATAATCTGAGGAAATTAGATGTAATACTGTGATTAATGCTGAAAATTCCATTCTGTATCACAAGAACTGTTTTTGGAATAAAGTAAATCATTATTATTATTAAAACAAAAGAAGCATAGTAGACTTGTAAACCATGTTGTTGTGGATAGAACGTCAAATGTTGTTTCAAATGAGGCGCATAGTGTACCAATTAGTGTTGATACTAAGAGAAAGATTCTTCACTTCTCAATAGGAGCATGTTGACAATTCAGCAATATGTAATCATGGATTATTTTGTTTACAGAATAAAAGGTTAATATTATTATTATTGTTATTATCATGATAAGTTATAATCCTGTTTGTGGCATGACAAAATTGTTTTGTTTCATCAAGTGCAGTCGTTGCACTATCTCCTGTCTGTCTGTCTGTCTCCTTGTGAAGATCTTTCAATAACCTTGTTGTTTATATACACTCTTGTATAAATGAATTAAGCAGGGCGGTAATCCCTGCACTACTAAATATTAATTAGAATTTGTTTAACAAAATCACGCAAAAACGAGGGGAAGGACTGTTTTAGTAGTAGTAGTAGTAGTAGTAGTAGTAGTAGTAGTAGTAGTAGTAGTAGTAGTAGTAGTAGTAGTAGTAGTAGTAGTAGTAGTAGTAGTAGTAGTAGTAGTAGTAGTAGTAGTAGTAGTAGTAGTAGTAGTAGTAGTAGTAGTAGTAGTAGTAGTGGTAGTAGTAGTAGTAGTAGTAGTAGTAGTAGTAGTAGTAGTAGTAGTAATATTGCATTCTCGTGATCAGCAAAGTTTTGACAGCCCTTCACAGACGGACAGTGAGTATGTGTGCATATATATGCGTATAAAATTGACGTCATTTGATTTCCTAGATATTAATCAGTTGTAGACTAATTGTCTGAGTTTACAACTGTTTACGTAAAAGTCAGTGAAGACAACAAAAACTTTTTGAGGATACATTTTCTAGGAATATGGTCAGAAAAACCGGATGGAGAATCTTTTCTCTGCCTTTTCAGTTTACCTGCCGTTGTAGCGTCCACTCATATATACATAAACACAGTTGGAAGCATTATCGGTAGGGTGACTTTTCAGTTTTCTAGATGGGTTTTCTATGAGCATGTGGTATTTTGTAACGATACAGGCATAGTTTTGATGATGTTAGATAGTTGGAGGCAATCATGCTAGTTGGAACTCAACAGTCAGCAAGGCGTATCCGCAACCTTGAAGGAACTCATACGTTGCTTCTGAGATTCAAACCCGCGTCACCCAGTATCACCCGCAGTCAGAGACGTTACCACTGAGATATTCGAACTCGCGATTGACCTCGTGTAAGACTGTATTGGATATTTCGATTGGACACTAGTAATTAGTGTGATGTGTCTAGTCCTTTCTCTGGTGCAGACTGAATTCTATCAGTCAGGTTTGTAATGTGGCCACCATTCTAGGCAGCTCGCCAATCAAAATATCCACTACAGTCCTACAGGAGGTCAATCGCGAGCCCGGATAGCTCAGCTGTAACGTCTCTGACTGCATTACTCACCGGGTGACGCGGGTTTGAATCTCAGAAGGGACACGAGTTCCTTCAAGGTTGCAGATACGCCTTGCTGTCTAGTGAGTGGACCAAACCTGGGTCCAAGGCTTCCTGCCGATTGCCTCCAACCATCTAATACCAACATTTCACAGTGCACCGTAATGGCAAGCCACCTAGAATAGTGGCCACATTGCAAGCTTGACTAATAGAATTCAGTCTGCACCAAAGAAAGGACTGGACACATCACACTAGTTACTAGTGTCCAATCAAAACAAGCATAGTTTTATTGAAAGTAAAGAAGCAGGTACTCAAAAAAGGCAATTATAAGACACCTCGTGGATTTGGGGAATACTGTACCGAGACTTCCAAATGTTTCGGAATATTCACTTTGCAAATTCACAATGATTTACTGAAGCAGTCGCAATCGAACGTTTTCAGTCAGAGTGATACATAAAAAAAGACAGTGTGGTCAGTCTGTCACTTCATTATCATTCCTTCGCATTCCTAGTGGAGCTTAAGTTTTTTGGGCTTGAGCTTTGAAGTTAACGTAATAATAGTGGTAGTTTTACGGGGTGGGGTTGGCAGCCTCACAGACGACATTCCCGGCTTTCTGCGCTTACAAACCACTAATTGAGGTAAAGGTGTACGCTGGCATAGAATCGAACTTCGAGCCACCTGCATGGTTGGCAAGTATTCTGTCAATTAACCAAAGATGGAAGCATGCAACTATTAACCTACTGGCTGGCTAGGAAATTATACACTGGTTTTCAGGAGAACCGAATACATGCAATCTTGAAGGAACTCATGTCCCTTCTGAGATTCGTTCCCGTGTCATCCAGTTTCGAAGTCGTATTAAAACAACAGAAGACAAGAGTCAGGTAACGGATCATTTATTTAAGAAATCAACAGATATTTATAGATTTTCATGTACATTATTATAGATTATTGTAAGCGAACAAGCACAGCCTTCTGACTGGCGGTTTCCCTTTGAACGTTAATCTTTCATCTCTTTGTGGCCGTTTCTTGAAGTTTAGATTATCTATCGGCAAACTGCATCCGATTACGGAAAGTCTGCTGTGGTTGGTTGTTTAATCAGTCTTTGTCAGTGTTCTTCTCTCACAACCAATATTGGGGACGTAAACACTGACGTAAATTACTGTCTACCAATTTGGCTAGCAGCCAGCTCTCACCACACTCGTCCACCTGTCAAAGACTTCCGACTGAAGTTGGTTCGGTCTTCCTGGTTCTAGGGGCTTTGTTCGTTTGTCTTGCTGTCTGGAATCTCGGCACTCGCTGATGTTCACTTGTTTCTCTTTGTTTGCACTGGCGATTGTGTCTGCGAAACCCCATCTCAACGTGATTATATGTGGCCCTTCCCACTTCGGAAACTGTTTGCCTAACACTGTTTTGCCTCACACTGTCATATGCTGCTTTCTCTTTACCTCCCAGCAGCGTCTCAAGTAGCAGCCCCATCGATGACAGATCTTAAACGCCACTCAGCTGCGCAGAGGCCTCGAAGTTCTGACCGAAGATCCATATCTCTCCATCAAAAACTGCAGGGCATAGGCTTTCCATTTGTTGGTAGGCATAGACATCAAATGTAACAACTGAAGACAAGGGCCAGGCAATAAATTTTGTTCAAAACGTCATCCAGTAAACACTAATGCTATTTCACTCACTGTGAGTGATACATCTTATAAACAAACCAATATAGAATTACTTACTACCACAGTGCCCAAGTTTTACACATACATATTAATTCTTCTAAAAAATTAGCGGCTGTCGAATTGCTAGCTGAGCTAGAAAACCCATAGATATTATTATATATATTGGCTTCACATTTTCTATTATTATGATACTAGTTGCATATTTGATCTTTTTAACAGCAACGTTCACTCTCTGTCTAGTTGTCAAGCTGCTATGATGCCCCAGATAGGGTAGTTTGATGTAAGCGTCTTTGTTAGGGACGAGTTGTAGACTGGGTCTTGGTGTTCCACTGACTGACACTGGGAAGTCGTGACCAGTAGGGTGCAACGGGTCGGGTGTGAGGACAAATACTCGCCGAAGACATTGGCTAGCGGTCGTGCTATGTCGTGAATTGGCAGAAGTTAGAATTCAAGGACCATTGGATCGGGTCCCAATGGCATAAAGGTATACGAGCTCGCCTCGTAACCAGAAGATCCTGGGTTTGAATCCCGGTGGGTGCGTACTGCTGAAGCGTCCCAAACTAGAACAACAGGAACGGCTGTCCAGTATTCCCTGCAGGTTTTCCAACGGTTCTCTAACTAATGTCAGCTCATGATGAAATCCTGAAACCAATCAAATCTCTGCAAACCAACAATTAAATACTTTATATCTCCTGAAGAACTTGTCTGGATAATTGTTATTAACCAGCGTTTGTGTCAACTTTCTTTCTTCAACATCATCAAGTGTGTCTTCAGTGCATAGTTGTTGAATTCTACTGAAGAAGCACCTTAGTAAGGCTCTTTTGTACTTAATATGTCCTTTCAACTTGAACGAAGTGGTCTAGTTTCTCACCTCTTACCTCTTTATTAATTTCATGTATATTCACTTCCATGACAAGTCCGTGTGTGATCAGATTGTTTGAAATGCGTTGCGCAAATACATTACACCACTGAGACAAATTACGTCTTCTTCTTATTGCTTTATCTGAATTCATAAAGGGAACTAACTGTTTTAAAGATTGACCATTAATCAAAATATTTTGAAAACATAATACAACACTGAACAACAATTCTAGAAAAGGAGTTGCGTAATAATACAAACTACTTAAAGAACTAATTATTATTTTTAAATGATCACGGAAAGACGAATGACGCAATTATATTACTTAAGAATTTAACTGCACGAAAATATCAAAACGCCTTAAGTTTAGGCGAAAAAGGAATACAAAACACCTCTGCTTAAATCACTGACTGAGCTGCTAGAATTTCCATCTGTTATGTTGCTGCTGCTAAGTGGTTAATAGTAGTTTTCCCCGTCGCCAAATTGTTATGTACTCGTCGCTAAATTATTGTTATGGACTGGTCGAGAAATTAATAGCCCTGACGCAAGAAGGCGGAAATCAGAAGACCACTAGGTTTGCGATGATACTTCTACTTTCCAAACACAAGGAGAATGCAAAAGTGGTATCAGACCAAAGTGGTAAGTGTAAGTAAGTCACAAGATTGTGAGAACGAAATATATATATATACATATATATGAAATGTTCCAGACAAAGTGTGTGAACAAATCATTAGACAGTCTTAACATGAATGGCTAATTATAATGAAGTATCGATCCATATATACATAGCGAAATATAGCAGACATGTCAACAACCACCATATATGGATATATGTCACCAAGCAACGGACTGTCAACAAACACTCATATTATATATAATATAAGGGGAATATACATTGTTAAAGGAGACAGGTTCATCAAAGTTAAATGGTCACAGACTAAGAGAGCAAACAGAATGAGAGACCAGCATACACACACACATAAATATATATAAATGGATACATATCACCATCTGTCAAAGAAATGCTGCTTAAAATCTTCGGAATTTCTTGTTGGTTTAATTGTGCAATTATATCAGATAACTAGTGCATGAACTGGCGCGAATATTTAAGTAGTTTCCCGCCTACTCTGAGGAATTCGTGAAGGAATTTAAGAGAAAGTGTACAGAATTGGTTTTTCCTCTTTATATGGCCAACAACACCACACGACAAATGCCGTGATGTGAGAAGAGGGTGTATTTTGGAAATAAATACGCTGAAAATTTCTCTACTATATGTTCACATATTGTCTGAAATAAAGCTTTATTGTTAAAAAAAATAATAATAAGGAAAGGAAAGTAAGTTGAATAAGTTTTCTATGTATGCAGTCACCTTTCTATCTCGCTCAACTTCATCGACTTTGAAAAGGCCTTCGATAGCACAGCGTCGATCGAGAGGTTATTTGGCAACTACTTCGCTACTACGGGGTGCCACCGACAATTATGATAGATGATAGATTTCATATGTGGTATATTTAATTTTCAAGTGTTGGTTTTGTAGGGATTTAGTTTGATTGTATGGAGGATTTAATCATGAGCTGACATCAGTTAGAGAAACACTGGAAAACCTGGGAGTACTGGACAGCTGTTTCGTCCTAGTTTGGGACTCTTCAACAGTACGCACCCACCGGGATTCGAACCCAGGACCTTCTGGTTACAAGGCGAGCTCGTAGACCATTGAGC